GGAAATTAGGTTTATCCTTCAGACTTACAGTAATTCAGCTTTCGGGTGAGAAAATTCCACCAAGCCCCCTGCATATAATCCTTGTGTTAGGGAAAGTCAAATTCATGATTTTCAACTGACAATAGTGTATAGCAGATTTAAGCAAGCACTTTTATTTCTGAACTTATGAACTTTATCCACAGCATAAAGAAAAGAAATCCTTCAAGTAGTTTCAGAAGACGGGACTTCAGTAACTTGAACCAAGTTATTAAGCAGTCACATCCCTGAACTTAGGATGGTTACTGCCCACAAATCAGGTTTGTGAAACAGACACAGTGGGAGTTCACACGTAATGCAAATTCACTGGACTGTACAAGCTATTGATTTATTGTAAAATAATGTTAAATAAACACTTATTTTGCAATGACTTCACACACCTTTATCCTAACAAGACCGTGGCAAAAAGAAAAAGGAGGATCCCAGCTCTATCTGTGGACAACCAAAAGGATTCATTTTTCTTTCCACGTGCAACGCAGCTCCTCCCAAAAAGACAGTGAAACTGCTCCACAATTAGATTACTCCAAACTGCTGACAGTTTTCAGCACAGTAGTGGATACCAATAGCAGTAGTAATAGAAACCATTTTGCCAAACCAGCAGATTAGAAATACTTATTAATAGGTATATTGTACTGTATGCAGTTTCATCACCTGCAGATTTTAGGGAGAACTTACTGAACTTAAGTTTTCTAATAAAAAGAATATAAAAAACCTAAACCCAAAACCCAACAGCAGCAGCATTTGCTTACCATGAAATGAGGTTGTGTTAAAATACGCTTTAGCTCCTTTGCATCATTGTTCTCTGGGTAACATGAAATTTCTTCCAATACCTGCAAAACAAGTAGGAGAAATGCGCATAGTAACTTTATTTTAAATAAAGCTATTAATCGAGCAAATGAAAACCCTCACTGGCCAGTCAGAGTATCTCCAAATGATCATACAGATGAATGCTTTAGACAGGAAAGGGCTTAGGAGAATGTGACCCTCCCTCCCACTCCAAGAGAATAAAATACATCATTTCTATTTTCTTTCTGAGAGAGATTAAAGCAGAAATTTGAAGGCAACAGCTGCTCTTTTTTTCAATTGACAGTATTCCTCCAACAGCTAAATATATGGTTACAGAAATGAAATGCTAACATATAGGTGACACACGTTACCATCACCAATTGCTGCTTTCACACATGGTCTCAACTGATTAAAACAATCAGTTTAAAAGTGGAATTAAAAATACTCATAAAACCTTGTGTTCACACATTAAATTATTAAAGACATCAAGTGTAGGTGGTCCATCTGCTACCCTACTGCCAAACTCCAGATTCTATAAAATCTGAGCTGTACTTCAGTTTATCACTGGGAGAAGGAGGAGGCAGGAGGCATTGACCTGCAGCTTGATGCTTTCACCTTTATTTTCAACATGCAACTACTTGGACAACGAGAGTAGAGTATTTTGCTTCTGGAAGCACCTCCCAGGATTAACTGCCAGGAAATTTTGCAGAATAGGAGGACTCCGGGGTGTCTATCAGTGTGACTGCAGTTATTACACAGTGTTTTAGTCTTCCTGTCCATTCTATTTTAATAGCACTATAAACATTTTCCTATGACATTACCCTCAACAACTGTACTTATTTTTACTGATAATACATAATACAGCTATATTTTTTAACTATTTGCAATAAACAAACAAATACAATACTATTTGTCAGGTAAAAGAATTAAGAACATCTGTGTCTATTTATCTTTCGTCTTAATGGGTCGCCTTCATTGCATTTCTTGGTCTGCTCTTCTTAGAACTATCTATGATAAACTTGTTTTTTGAATTTAAAAAGCTGATACCTAGAAACATATCTTTTTTTTGTGACTAAGTAATATATAAACTGAACATGAAAGATACTGCATTTACCCAACAGAAGCATTCCTTTTAAGACTGCTATTGTTGCAGCAAAGGTTTAATGATGAAACTGAGTTATATATGTATATGATCTTACCGACATAATGGAATTCTGCAAATTTATGCAACATTATGTAACTTAAGTAAGCAACAGTAGAATTCCAGAAAGAATTCAGATTTGGAGCCAGAATACATATCAGTATCTTAATGAAGAAAAAAAAAGTTCCACTTCAAATACAACCAAACTTTGAAAGTAAAAAATACATTTTTAAAGCCATTACCTCTTTGGCTCTCTGTACAGCATCACTTGGAGGATTCCTGATTTGTGGTGAAGATTTTGTGTTTATTTTGTCATAAAGCTGAAATAAGAAAACAAACTACTGAAATCATATGCTACTTGATATCAAGTAATGATGAGTGCTAACAATGTTTATTGCTTATGTTACCAATAATTGCTTATGTTACCATGATTAAGGCGATTATTAAACTGCAAGTCCCACAGATGTTTTGTATACAAAATCTAGCAGCTTAGGGTTTTGGCTTTTCATTTTTAAACATTTCCTGATTTGCACAGCGCCATAGATTCAGAGTTCATAGGATGACATGGGAAAGTTCAAGAGGTTAAGGGATTCTGCAAACCTCCCATGCTTTTTCCACAGATTGACAGAAACTATATTCTTCTACTAGAAGCGATCCTATGAATCTTGAATAAATGCTGTAAATGATACATTCTGCTATAAAATCAAATTGATCTCCATATCCCACTTTTCTCAATACATCAATCCTCAAACATTCCAGTAATTTAAATAAACCTCAGAATATGGGAAAATAGTCTTGAAGATAGAAAGCTACAAAAGCCTAAGTCTTTGGAGAAGAGAAACCCAAACCTTTCCAAGAAAGGGTGCTCACAAAAAAGAAAAAAAAAAAAAAGCAAAAAAAAAAGCACCCTTATTTTACTAGGGTTTTCTATTGGATGGAAAAATGCCAATGTATTTAAATAGGAAATAGTAAACATTGCAGGTTAATTAATAAAAACCCCCCAAATCAAAAAACCAAAAAACTTTTTAAACTCCCTCAGCTATGCAAAACACAACAGGAGAGAGATCTATCTTCAATTTCAAATTAGAGATAGATATTACAGGCTCTCTTTCATACAAGCCTAAATGACTATGCATGTTTTAAAGAAATACATGTATACTTCAGAATAAACAGACACTGCAATAAGTACTATTTTCAAATAAAAAAACTTTTGGCTTACATTTCAAACAATATAAAGACAGTCATGCCTGCATTTTTTTCCTATTTATGTTAGACTACTTCTTTGGAATATAAGACAGAAAAAACATACAAATAGCTGTATTTAGGATATTAGAGAAATTTTTATCACAATAAGAATGCTGAAACATTGCAACAGGTTGCCCAGGGAAGTTGTGGAGTCTCTCAACTTTGGAAATACTCAAAATTCAACTGAAATTCAAAATAGTGTATCTAAGCAAACATTCCAAATGCACAAGGGACTCTAACACCTTCAGCAAATCCTACCACTGTAAAGGATGAGTTGGTAAGAACCTCCCCAGAGCAAGTAGCTCTTAGGAGCTTCCTCTGAGAAACTTCCAGATCCATTGTTTGGCTGAGGATGGCCTCAGGTGTTTGAAAAAGGGACTCCTGTCAAGCTACAGAAGTGCCCTCTTCTCTTTCTCACGTGAAATACCGTCGGTTTTAGAAGAGATGTAAACTGCAATAAATGCAATCCAGTATCATCATCATTTTCCTTGTGCTCCTTAACAATCTAACGCACATGTTGAACATTTCAAGTCCATATACAAATAAATACAAAAAGAGGAAACAACGTCATTCCAAAACCCATTGCCTGCAGGACAGCCATACCACTGTCTTGGGGAAAAAAGAAGTAGGAAAGTCAAACTGAATTGGTTTCTTCCACATTTTCCACTTTAGTTGCCCACACAATTATTTGTTTTTACCTTTTCTTAAATGAGTAAACAAAAGCTACCCAAACTCCAGCAACCCCTTATTATTAAATATCACATGTATACACCTGTCAAGAAACTGCCTTGAGCACTGCGTAGCGAGTAAAGCGCAGCAGGAGCTGTGGAATATGCGTGATACCGAACATGAATATTATTGAATGTATTTTTCTGAGTCACACATACATCCTGTTTAAGATTAATGAAATTACAGAAAGGTTGGCATGGAAATATTTTTATTAGTTATTTCTAGCAGTTGTTTAAAAGCTAAGTCACTGAAGTTGCTGATTTCACTCAAGTCGCTATGTTATTGTGATCCAAAGCAACCGGCAGTTTACAGAAAGAGTTTTTTCCCACTACCATTGGGGAGGCTAAGTTATCTTCTAAGACTAGGAAGGAGGCAAAAAGGAAAGCAGGAAGCAAAATGCCTCTAAGAATGTTAAGAAAAAAATCAAGGCAAAGTTCAGACTAAACAAAGGTGCATTTATTTTTCTGTAGCACCTTCATGTTGAGGCATGGTACTTAAATTTCATCTTCCAGGAGTGCTACTTACTGAGATTTGCTTCCAAGGCACCAAACCACCAGGAGGGACTCTGACAGTACTTAAAAAAAACCTTCATATTTGCATTAAGGCTTAAAGCCTTTATATTGCCCAAGCCATGGGATCCATTATTTAGTCTCTTGGGAGTTTCTGAAAATCAGAAACAGACATTTTTGAAATGGTATACTTGAATTCAAGTTAATTCATGGACTTTTTAGCTTACAAGGGGACCAGGCTACATAATTAAAACTGCTTCTCCTAGTTACATTTTACATAAACAACAGCTTAATCTTTAAAATTCCAGAGTAAATAATTTATTTTGTAATTTGTTGAAAAATGATATCTATATCAATAAAATTGGTGTTTTACGAATTAGCCTAAAGGGAGCCAATGGCAGTAGTGAAAGATGTATATTTGTATGTGAAGTCCATGAAGATTTTCACCTAGGAAAATCCAAGTGACACAAAGAAAAGTGTAGTTTGTCAATTCCTGTACAATATTTTTTTAAACATACCCTAGATGTTCAGCTAATTGTCACTATTTCTGTGCTCTGAATTACTTACAAAACAGGAGTTGACTGTGGCTTTCATCATGTCAAGGTTTCTTTGTCTTTTTATAGACGGGCCACAAATCCTTAGGTTTTAATTGTGGTTCTTGAACACTGTCTTGACCGAAACCTGTTTTTAATCCCTTTTTAACAACAAAACAGCTGTACTTATTACTGACATTTCGTGTTAGCAACAGAAAAATTTCCTAATGGAAACAATCAGTATTGTTACCAAACTGTCTCAGTGCCTATTTTCACATCTTGTCTGGAAACAACCTTTTGTTCAGGCCATGCAATTTCTCTCTGGTATAATGCATTGTAACGCCAAATTATTTTGGAGAGTAGTGGCACAAATTACAATACACAAGACAAACGCAATTATTACACGCTGAAGACAGTAAAATGACAAGACCGTTTTCAAATCTCTAAATACATATACAGCAATACCCCACAAAGCATTTGTCTTGTTCAGGTTCACATGTCATTACGTATTTCTAATGCATCCTTAGAAGAAACTAAAATAGTATTATGTACAAGATTGTATCAGAAGTACTATTTCTACATTAACTGTTGATGTAGTCAAAGCAAAAATAAGAACATACAACAAAGATACATATCTTTAAAAACATGCCAAGTAATAATAACTAAGTCCAGAAACAAAGGAAGTATTAGTACCTCTTAGTACTTGCTTTATATTTTAATTTTTTCAATATACCATTTCAACAGTGCTTTCACATAAATTTTTTGGACATTGGAAAAAAGAAGTCAGGTTCCTAAGTGTCTCTTGTTTGGAATGTACTCATATAAACAGAAAGATGAATCCAGGATATTATTTTGTATCTCTCATTTCCAATTTTAGTAACTGTGTGTCCAGTCTGGACAGAATTTTTTAGCATTATGTTATTAAGCCTATTTAAAAAAAAACATTTACTCTAACAATATTTAGTCTTTACTGGTTACAGAAGATGATTAGAAGCTTTCTGCCAGAACACAGCAGAAGCTGGTAAGAGGAGCAAAGCTTATACTCTGCATTAACGCACCAGAACTGGTGAAGCAGTCCAACTTTCTTTGAAATCTTTGAAAAAAGACTGTTTTACAATACTTTTAAAATATTTTTGCACTTAAGTGATAGCTATAGCAGAAGCAATTTAGAAGAAGGAATTTACAGGTCCAGAATTTATCTCTGAAAGCACGTGAATTTAGAGGTTTCATTCATACTCATGAACAAGAACATTTGCTCCCTTGGACATAAGAATCCAACACACCTTTACAGGAACGTTTTACAAAATGTTCAAGAAAACTCTGAATGAAACCTGTTGGCACATATCAGATTCAAGTAAACATTAATGACAATTACAGCCAGGCTTTATATACTGCTGTGGTACAGAACACATTACTATGTGCACTTAGCTACACAATTTTAATTGCAGAAAACCAGCCTGGTCAAAATGCTCTTGTCTCTCAGCAGCCCTGCGACCCTACGTCCTCCAGGGACCACGCCAAAGGTAGTGTCTTGTGGAACAGAATTAACTGGTTTGTTCTTCTCTGTCCTCAGCAGAATGCTTTTCTATGAAATACCAACAGACTTGCAGCAGGACAAAATCTGTATGTGCCCTAATGCGGGCTTTCTTTTTGCTGGGACGCTCTATTTAGAAGTGATAGCCAATAACTCTGCCCCCTCTCCCCAGCAGCCCAACCTCCAATAATTTCACCCAGCAATAAGCAAAAACATAAGAATTAATTTTTTCTAATAATTTAAAAAATAATAATTGCTGTAAAATGTCAAAACAATTGTAACTTTTGGAATTTCCAGACTTGTGAATACTTTGCATCTCAGTCTCCCTCCTCAGCACCAGTTCTTCTGCATTTGCTACAAAGAAAATCAAAATTAAGAGCTTGCTCTAGAAAAGCTTAACAATCACAACTGACATACTAACAAAACTTGATATAACAAACAGAAATTGAGGTTACAGCTAATTAACAGAATAGTACTGCTTCTTAAAAAGACAAGTTTTACTTTAAATTTTGCATGCTAGAACACAAATACTATGAAGAGAATACCCACAACATGTCGAGTCACTATCAGTGGCCCAGCTTTCTTCGTAGGAGTTGAGACTTTGTCTTCTGCCTGTACAACTCGTTTCTTCTGATATTTAAAAGCAGACAGCCCAAAGCCTAATCCACTATCAGGCAGGCGAGACAAAACAATAAACTCTTCTCTTCTGACTAGTTTTTCAGATGTGCAGAAATTCCTTTTTAACCATTTCCTGTAAGAGGAGT